AACGGCATCTGGATGGTAAACTCCGAATACTGAGTTTTCACTCAAACCAGTCTTAAGTTCCTGCAATAGGACTGGAAGTCAGGGTGGAATTTTATGTTCTAAAGGGAGATCCCCTAGTCTTAAATTAATTTTACCATTAATAAAAAAGGGTCTTAATGTAGACATCACAATAACATTATGGTAGGATAGAACAGGTAAATCAAATGCTCTATGTTCTCATTGTAAATGATTCTACAAGTACCTTTATGTTTTATTAGTAATCTTTGAAAAGGGCATTAAGATTTTGAGTAGAGCTGTTTTTTTTTTTGGAAAAATGATTTTCATGACATCTAATCTTGTGACAATTAAGTCCAGTAAGGTATTAAAGGTATGTACATAATCTGCAAGAGAAAAATATCGTTGCGTTTGAGGTACGAGAATGCAACCCCTAATTTGTGTTGGGTGTTCTGTGCATTACTGGGTGTCCTGTGCAATTAATAAGAGGGGATTTTTTTAGATTTGCATTTTCGTCGTCATCGACACACATTTGCCTCGCTTTGAGGTGCTTGCTTACATTTTGCCTCACTTTGACTGGCTAACTCATGTGGTGATTCTTGTGTCCTCGGCGTTCATCTTTCAAAGGTTTGCTGAGGTCTGATATTCTGTCTTCGTAAAGCATTCATCTTTCAAAAAGTTTGCTGAATCTTCGTAAAGCGTACATCAATCTGTGTTTGCTGAATTGTCCAAAGCATTCATCTTTCAGAAGTTTGCGGTTAAATTTTACTTTGGATTAAGCCTTCACATTTTCCAGGCGCATGGTTCATCCTGTCTTTGGAAAATGTCTGCGACTCCTGGTGCATGCATCAAACCAGGTTTAGTTCGGCGGCCATTGTGCCACAAAGTAAATCTACCGAGATGTGAGGCTCGGCAGCGCCATTTGATCATGACTTGTGATATTTCGGCACCGGATAAACGAACACTTTTTAATTAACTCTATGTTATTTATTAGGAAAAACTTATAAACCACTCTCGAGTAACTGAAATCAACACGCTCGACCAAATTACTGGAAAAGTTATTGACGTGAGCCGCACACACATTCCATTGAAGGCTTTGACAGGGTTAGTGCGAAGTTTGAATTCAGAAGTTAAAGCTTTTAAAACAGTAAATTCAATGCAATTCATTTTGTCAACAAGTTGATGATTGGATGCTCTTAAAAATAACATAGGAAATTATCCGAAGAAATGTTTTTGAAGAAAGAAAAAGAATCCCGGGTTAAGCCCTGATCGGCCTTAGCAACTGAGCCCTGTAACTCATGCCAGCAAAACAAAATGTTCTACTTACACGCCCGACACACTCTGGCCAATGTCTCCTCCGATCACAAGCACTTGACACCGTACCATACGATATCTTTTCAAAACCTTCTTATAACGTGATACACAGTTTAAATAGAGGTTTTGCTGTACGCAACCCTTACGTTCAAAATATACCATAATCATATTTATCTACATCGCAACCACCCTTCCCCCTCAACTGCTACCTGTACGCCTAACAAACATATCGAACGCACTCTCCTAAGCTCCGATTACTCCTAGTATTAATGAAATAGGTTGCCTTTTATACTGGTAATTGAAACAAGCGAGCTGTATGGTTTGTGATAAGAAGTCACAGGAGGTGCTCTTAACTAAAAAGTCTGTCTCAAATGAAGTAATTTTTGCATAAGTTAATGTGTTTAAATATTCAAAATCCCAAACAGTCTTTGCATACTTACTTTAAAAATAATCCTGATTAGCCACTTCTGAAATCACAAAGAAATGTCAAGAATGAGGCAAAAATGTCCAAAACCCTTTTACTTTTAAAAAAGATTGCAGATTTAGAGTTACTTCAAATTAATACCTGTTCAAGGGCACTGGTGTTCCTCAGAAGAAGTTGTAGGACTTTTTTGACATCTTCACGTTTGTGTTCAACATTTGATTGTGCCACCTGATCAAGGTACTTATTCACCTGGTCAATTCTCAAACTGGAAAACAGTATTATCAATTAGGTTAGTTTTGAAAGAAATGTGGCTCTTTTTAATTTATTTCCTTCCTAAGAGGGCTAGAAAGCACTATGAAAAGCAAACATACCTCCAAACAAATCTCATTACAAATAGTTACCCTGTGAGAAGAGGCTCACTGATCTTCCATTGTTACAAAAACTGCAGTGTTTTAAGAAAACATATCACTCTCTGACTCAAAATTTGAATCCTTTAAAAGGAGCCAATACTCACCTTCCTCTTTCAGGACACCGGTTTTTTAACACAAAATAAGCCACACTGGCAAAGTCTGCAACTGAATCCTATCAAATGTTAAAGGATAAAGTCAAATGTAACTATTCAGTTGACAAACTAAGATCCTCTACATTAATGCAACAATTTTAAGCAGTGATTTTGTTATCCCTGTGCGAACATTCCTGGTGCATAAAACCCCCAAAGATGCAAAATAATTAATGTCATGCAACCTGAAGGATGCAAAGAACAGTTGATCATGAACAACTTGAAGATGATCTTGAAGAATATCCTGTTTGTTACTGTAAGTCAAGGGTCCAGACGTTAAAAGTTCTGAGTGAACAAACAAAAACTTTTATGTTCAAATACTCCTACAATAAAATCGTTGGTTTTGGGATCATGACTCATGATTTTATTTGACATGAGTCCCATCACTCACCATAGCAAATTGTAACAAAATCACTGCTAAGATGTACAATGTATGATCATGTAAAACTCTTCCACTTATACATTTGTACACGTACACATTAACTTAATTATAATTATGATGTGATGGAAAAAGTCATGGGCGGGGGTCAAATTCTCTGAATAGTCACACAGTTAAAGTAAAGCCACTACCACCTAACAACAGATGATGTCTGACATAGTCAATGACATTGATAGGGTTCACCCAAATGTCCTTGGTAATATCATGATATAACCATGGTTACATTAGACTCTGTCCACCTACAGTAGTAACCCCTTCCCTTCCTTGCTTTTGGGGTGTAAGCTATCATACAGGATCATTTGCTTTTAGTATATTACATTGATGATTATCGAAAATAGAGCGCTATGATTGGCTAGGAGCTTCGCTTCATCCCACTTTATTCATCGTGCTGTGATTATAACATTGAAGGCTAGCAGTTTTCAAAATGGCAGCCAGATTTGTTGATGTTTCTGAGTCACAAATTGATGAATAATATTTCATTTTCTCGAATAATCATCACTGTAATTATGCTAAAACAATTAGTCGCCTGAGGCAATGTGAATATACGTGAATAGTCACCTCAACTTCGTCTCGGTGACTATTCGCCGATACTCACGCCACCTTCCGCGACTAATTGTTAAATGATGATATATAGTAAAATATAGTACTGGCTGATTTCTCTATCCTATTGTAGTAAACTAAAACTACCTTTCCCTCCCCTCCCCTTTCATTTTTTGCAACGTTTTTTTATAGTCTCAAAAGTTTTCCTCTCCTCAGGGGTTCACACAATCAAGATTCCCCTGCATGACCATTTTAAGTGTAAGTAAACTCAATTGTCAGCTGAGTTGGAACACGTACCTGTCTGACATTTTTTGGAGCTCTGTAGTTTAAAAGTTTTCGTCCATCAGCAGTATCCTTTCCTATGCTTAGTATTTCCATGTAGTACTTAGCCAGAACAACCTTTCAACAACAACAACAAAACAATACCATTGACTAAAAGAAGCGAGGTGTCCCTTTTTAAACTTCCTTTGTGTAGTTTTATCATTATCTTCTGTAATATTTCTTTTAGCAACAGCTCCATTTATGATCTTGGTTTTAATTTCCTATCTCTGCCATATGTATTCTTTCCTTTGACAATTATCTCCCTTTTTACCCCTGCTTGGTTAGTTATCGTATTTATAGTAATGCATTGGACTTCTTGCCTGGGTTTTGTCCATAAGTTCATTTTTAGTCTAATGTTTAAGTGTTTCTCCACAAGAATGATGAACACTGTAGTTCAACAATAATTGATGTCTAGCCATACAGTTTTGCCTGACAAAATCTAAGGGTGACATGTCGTTTTAAGAAATCTATGTCTAAACGTCAAAATTAAATTCAGGTTAAATTTTTTAACCCAAGTTGATTTACAATTTCCTTTGTCTCTTTGAGTCCTAATTCATTAATAATTAGGGCTAGACGAATAAAGAAATAAGGAATCACCCTAAGTTAAATAATTTTAACCTGAATTTAATTTTGACCTGTAACACCTACAGCCTTGAAAATTTCTCTGTGGCCAGATATGGCCAGTTCCTGTTTCACCTCTGTAGCTTTGATGACAGAATTGTCATTAATAGCCTTACCTCTTTTATCCCATAAGCACCTCGTTCTTTATCCAACTGGGGCAACAGGAGTCGCATGGCTGAGTAGAATGAGTCAGTCTACAAATTAAAAAAATATTATTTTATGTTAACTTATGGATACTAGAAAACCCAGCAGACATGTTTGTATCAATGGAAATTACCTAAAGAGTGTCTCATCTAAATAAAGCTCTTGTTGAAAGGTATTACATACACTATTACACTGAGAGACTGCAAATCAGAACTCCCCAGAAACAGCTTAGCTTATGAAGTCAAAATGTACCCGAAATAGGTCCAATCTGTCAAATTAACTTCTTTCCGATTCTTTCCACCTAGTTTTAGGTCAAATTTAACGGCAAATTTAGGGGTCTTAGTTTTTGTAATTTCAAAAACAAAGACCCCTCTTAGTTTTCGTCGTTACGAAAACTAAGACCCCCACAAAACCAATCTGTAAAACAACAAAAACTATCATCCGCACACTGACACTCTGCTTCTAAAAATTTGAAGAAAAAAAAAGGATGAAAGCCATGACCTATGTATAATTGTACACTGAAAATATGCCTTACCCCACCAACTGGTCTATTAATGTTTTTTCCTTAAAAATTGTAAAATCAGCCTTTTGCCTTCGTTGCCGGCTGACATGTTGCTGTGACCTGATGGCGTTACCTTAATATACTGTTAATTGCTTCCAATCATCAAGTGGTCAACAGCGTTATCAGTTAAACATTGCACAAAAGTACAGGTTTTTTCCTTTTCTGTTCAGGCCATAGCCAGAAAAATTCTTTCTCAAAAAGGGCGAATAAAAGAGTATATACTACATTGCATTTTCAAGAGTTTATTTCTATTGTTGCCACCCTGGAGATCACCAGAAACCAGGTGAAAAGTTACAATGTAAGGGTAGTTGAGGGGTAGGGTAGGGGCAAGGAGAAATAGTCTGTGAAGGATACTGGTTACAATCACTTTTAAATAAAAAATGAATGAATGAATGAATGAATGAATTTCCTGCACTAGCAAGGCATCATCTTGAAAATTTTGTGTTTTAATTTCAGAAAAAAATTAAATAAAGACGATTTTATCTTCGACATGAAGATTTCAGTGCCCCGGGCAGTACCAAAACAATCAATATGACAACAAATGAAATAAAGTAAAATAAAAGTTAAGTAAGAGAGAAAGGAACAAAACTATATATTGAACATTAACCTAGAAAATTACTTGGCTATGTACAACTTCTACATATGCTATTTGTATGTTAAGAAGGTTAAATTAGACAAATAAACAAACAATCAAAACAAAACAACCCTTGGGTGATTTTTAGGTAACGTGCCAATCACAGTCGCAGAGACACGAAGGGAGAAATCCATCTCCAGCACGTGGAAAGCCAAGTTTACGATTTTTAAGGATAAACAACCAAAATTATAGTCAGAGCAATCGGCAGGGTAAGGCATATTTTCAGTGTACAATTATACACAGGTAGTCTATGGTCTTTCATCCTCTTTTTTAGCCTCAATACTCGGAATTGCCTCCAAGTACGCAGATGATAGTTTTTGGTTGTTTTACGGATTATAGTCTTTGAACAGTCGTAGTTCGACTTCATGTATATTTTACAGATTGGCTTTGTAGGGGGTCTTAGTTTTCGTAATAACAAAAAGTAAGAGGAGTCTTTGTTTTCGAAATTACAAAAGCTAAGACCCCTACATTTAATGTTAAATTTAACCTAAAACTCGGTGGAAAGAATCGGACAGAAGACAATTTGACAGATTAGACCTATTTCGGTTACATTTTGACTTCATATCTCGACAGATTCGATTTTAGGGGGTCTTAGTTTTTGTAATCTAGAAAACTAAGACGAGTCTTAGGTCTTAGTTTTTAAGGGTCTTAGTTTTCGTAACACCCTTTAGTTTGACAGACTGTGTCCTTATCGCCTTTCTTAAAGATGGGTGTTACCAAGGCCTTTTTCCTGGCCTCTGGTACTTGGTGAGATGATAGCGACTTACTGAAGATCTTCTGAAGGGCTGGTGCTATTAATGAGCAGAGCTCGCGGAGGACCATGGGAGAAAGGCAATCAGGCCCAGCGGCCTTGTGTGGGTTTAGGTTATCTAATAGCTTAGCGATACAAGTAGCTGTAACTGAAATGGGTGGCATAGATGGTGTACTGTTAGGGGTATGGTCGAGGACTCTATTGCACTGATTTTGACAAAGTCGCCGCTATGTTGCCATGCATGTCGCAGCTACATAATGGTCCCTTTGCACCAGTCACATGGGACAAAAACACCTTCAATGGTGTATGGAAAACAATGCAGTGGGGGAAAAAACAAAGAGATTACATCATTCAAAAAGCTTTTTCTTTTTAAGGTGCCACTGCATTGTTCGCCCTCCAGCAAGGTCTTTTGTACCATGTGACTCTGTATAGGCATCTTGTGCAAGGGCCCCATAGCTGATACTGTCTACAAATTGGCCACAGAATAAACCAGAATAGGAATGGGGCTACATGAGGACAGTGACAGTTCACCCCAGCCCCTCCCGGCAGTTATGTTCAGGGGTCACTACATAAAAAGTACTCAACTGTTTTTGATGAACCATGGAGTTTCCCATGGGCTTCCCTCCATGAATTTAGAAACGTTGTTAAAATCTTCTTTTTCTTTTCAGTGCCTGATGTACCTGATATTTTTTCCAATAACGAGCAAAAGTCGTAAAATGGCACTTGAGAAGCAACTGCAGCTGTCACACTGTCCGCCATGTTGGATCTTGGAGACCGCCGAGGGAAATTGGGAATGAGTGTTTGAAGGCCGATTACGCCTTGCAAGTTTGGCTGTTCCGTATTTTCCGCATTTGTGCTTACATCGCTTACCTCTCATTCCGTAGGGATATAACAAATTTTAAAGCTCTTTTCTCATGAATATTTCGTAAAAATGGTTGGAAGACTGTGTCACTGGGGACCGCTTCTTGCTTTGTCTATAATAATCACCCTATTCCTTTGCGGACTTTATTGTACGATGTTGTGGTTACCACCGTGGACTTCACTAGCAGGCGGCATTCATTTCGCGGTTTTTATCACTTGGTTGTTTCTGATAATGAATTACTTTCTTAAATCAATCTGGCTTGGACCTGGATACCTACCACTCAAATGGAGAATGCAGGTGTGTTTTGCAGTGTATGTATCTTTACAGTTGCATTTTTTATTGTGCGTATTCCCTGAAGGATACACTGTACGTCAAGCACGCAAAAGTTGTATAAACCACCACTCAGACACTGAATTGGTTTCTGGCTGAGTCTTTGTTACAAGCATGCAGGTAGTAACTAATACATACAACACTGACTGAAGTCTAATAGGAAATAAATGGTACAAAACAAACTGATAATACTAATCAGACATACCCTAAACAACAGTCAAGATGCACGAGACTGCCTAGGAAGTGGGAGGGCGGGCGGGCGAGAAGAAATTGCTAGTTCTTTTAAGATGTACAGTAAAAGCCTTAGCTTGACTAAAGTGAAAACTGCTATGCTTGTAGTATTTTGATTGGATACTAAAAGTCTTTATTTATTTATTTATTTATCAATTAGGTCTGTCACTTAAGCTGAGCATTATAGACCGCTCTAAAAAGGAAAACAAAAGTGTCTGAAATGGCACTTTTAAGCACAAAGTAATGAAGTGTAAATAAATGTTTGAAATTGCATTTTTAAAAGCAGCCAGTGAATTGGACAATGCTGTTTCCCTTGGGAGTTGATTCCATTCTGTAATATTGTCCTTGGGTAGAAGGAATACTTGTAGTAATAATCCCTAATGGCTGTTGGCTGTGTGTAAGAGTACTAATTGGAGCAGGTTGAGTACGAATGTCCAGCTGATTGTACTTTGGCATGTTAGTGAGATAGTCTTATGACTGTTGGCTACATGTTGTAGGTATAGTCATTGGCATGTAACTCTAAAAGGTGTGGCTAGTTTCCAGACCCCCGACCCTAACCTCGTTGTGGTCTAGATTTACAGTAATAGCAAAGCTATCAATCTTCATATCAGTAAAAGTGGTCTTGCTTTGCAAGTTACAATCTACTGCAGTAGATATTTCTTTGATATTTCATATTTTCAGTATGCAAGAAATAAAGAAATGTCAACAAATATGCATAAAATTATTTTTGGTTCAAAAAGCATTTCTCTATACACTGTTTTATAGGATGGTGACAAATTAGGAGATGTTCTGCAGATATGTCATGTGTGTAGTGGTTATAAAGCACCAAGAGTTCATCATTGCAGCAAGTGTGGACGGTATTGAATGATTCTTTTACTTCACAAATTCTATGTAAGGTTGTCAAGGGGAAGCCTGCTAGTATGGAAGGAAAAGGGTGGAAGATTGGTAAAATTGAAGAACAGCTCCCCAAAAATCTGCCAGTCGTCTGTTGGTAGACTGTAGACCAACAGTTTACCGACTCTCGACCAACAGTTCACCATTTGGTGGCCAACTGCTGGTCATTTGTCAGCTGACTATTGGTTGATAGTAGCCCAACAGATTTTTTTGGGAGCTGTTCTTTAATTTTGCTGGAAGCTAGGAGAGAATTCATGAGGCAAGGCAGACATTTTAACCTCATACCATCAAAAAGTCTTTCCAGTAAAAAAGTGAATATTAATTTTTTAGAAAATTAACCTCATTATTTTGTGGTTTTCCAAGAAAGCATGTTTGTTCACCAAGATAATATTTCAAGACAAATGTTTATTTTCTGTACTCACATTACTTACCTGAGGTCAACTCACATCCTTCAGTCAACCGCAGGTTATATACACACCATTACATCTCTTACACATGTGCATGTGTTTCTTTATGAAATAACTTACATGCATTTAGGGTTGAACTCTGCTCTATTCAAGTTAAATTATGCATTTTGGACTTTTCTAACTTGTTTATCTCATTCAGTAATATACTCTTGAATGGATTGCTATGAAGAATATCCCAATATTAATTTATTTTTCCTCTGATAGATGTGTCATGAAAATGGATCACCATTGCCCATGGATTAATAATTGTGTGGGTCACTTAAACCACAGATCCTTTACATTGTTCCTATTTTTTGTTCCTCTTGGATGTACTCACACCACTGTTATTTTAATTTGTTGTGTTGTTCAACAATTTTATTTGGTGAGTGCTTGTCAATAAATTGCTGTTTTTCTTCATATACATGTACCGACTGTAAACTGCGCCCCCCAATTTTAGGCTCATCTACCTGTGAAGAAAAAAATAAATCTGATTATAAGTCCCCTGGATATAAGCCCCTCCATTTAAAAGCCCTCCTAAAACCCCTTATGAAGATGTATGAGTCCACAGTAGTGGCAGCAGTTTACAGTATTATTTACCTGTCTGTCAAATATTTTAACTTTATTATCACACTTACTGACCTGGCTAATATAGACAAATATTAGGCAACATAATTAAGTAAATGGAAGTTGTGGTTGTTCATCTATAGGACATGCATCTATTTTATTACTACCCTATGTACCTGGACAGTGTAGTTGACCTATAAATGCCTACTGCTTCCGTGTGCACTAAACAGATAAAATATCAAAGTCTGCTCTGTTATTCTAGGTCAGGGGTACTCTATGAATTATTGAGTAGGTCTGTGCTGCACTCTATACCAAACAATGTTAAGCTCATGCATTTGCAAACCAATTCTAGATTGGGCCCCAAATATCTCTATCTTTTTACATACAAAATTTAATATTAATTTAATATTTAATTCTGAATTCCACAGATCAAATTTTCACTTATAATAGCTTGTTACAGACCAAAATCCTCCAACTTGCTTGAACCCTATCCCAAACGAAACTGCTTGAAAAAACTTCCATCAACAATAGAATGTGCATGGATGATGAAGTATTATGACTAAGGTTCAACTCCACTTGTAGGCTACTTACATGTATATATATAATGGTTGCAATGGCCTGGGGAAAGTTTTTCTTGGGATTTAGGTCATTTGATTTGAGCACCTATTGTAGTTACTGTTCCACATTAGAGAGAGGTTGAAATGTCCTCTTACCCCCCCCCCCCTCTTACCCAGTTCAACCAGAAGGCCATATACTTGGGTGCCGGATCCAGATCTTCAGATAAGGGGGGGGCAGTCATCCAGACCCTGAGATGAGAGGGGGGGCGGTCTCCAAAAAAAAAATTTTCATCCCTTCGGGCCTCAGTTTGGTGTAAAAATAAAGGGGGCTCCCCGGGCCCCTCCCCTTTATCCTTATAATAATAATGATCATTTATTTAACCTTTTTGCAGCATAAACTGAATTACAAGGCGGGTCATTAATTACATACAAATACCTCGGAATTATGACACGTAAATATAACTGTTAATGTTGAGACATATCACATTTCGCTATTTTAAACGTGATTCTGGTATTTGATGGTGCAAAAATTCCAAATCTGTTAGTTCTTGAGGAGGCAGGCACAGAAACAGATTCTCCTGTTGTAAGGGCATACGGTCTTGTGTGCGCAACTTGCAGCACTAAGCTTCGTAGCAGGTCGGAAGAAGAGTAACTTCGCTTGAGAGATGTTATGCACGCATCCTCCCTCCTCTGGCGCAGCAAAATTAAGCCTGATTTCTTAAGCGCGTTAACATAGCACAGAGAAAGAAAAATAATTTTTAGCGCCCTCTTTTGACAGCTTCCCCTGACTGATACTCTGATACTGACTGATACTCTAATTGTATAGCAATCAATTTTAAACCCGAATTAATTATTGTCTTTATCAAAATTATATTCTAACTCAGTAACCGCTGTATCCACAGTTGTCTGGTGGCCTTTATCAACGTGTTGTGTTTCAGAGGAATGCTGTAGTTCCATTTAGATTCTATCATCTTATAGCTGTACTCTTTTGTATTGGTTTGTCAGTGGGTGTTACAATAGCTGTTGGCCTCCTTCTCTACTATCAGGTCAGCAATGTTAAATTACTACAAGCTATAAACTAGACTAAACAGGAACCACTAGTATACAAGGCAGCTTTTTAAAGCTATGCATATTGGACATCTGGCAAGTTGGCGGTTAAAGAACTTAAAAGACATAGGGTGCACAACATGTCCAAGGTCTATAAATTTATGTTATGATCTATGGACAAAGAGAAAAAGAGCAACATTTTGATAGCTTCAGGTCTCTACTTGGTGGCTTGTTTCATGCATTTGGCTGAGCAGTGGAAGCAAGCAAGCTAAAGGAGCTGGCTTACTTTATAGCTCTTTATCCCATAGTTAAATTGCTCCATTTACAGTCTACATGTACTTCAGCTGGGATTAAGGTGAGTTCATTGGACTCACCAATGTAAAATTTAGGCAAGAATCCTTCACCTGAACACCAGTATACAAAAGAATGTATCAAAACATGTAACACTCGTCAAAACATGTATTGCAAATTAGGGATTACCCGTGAAAACATAAAAGATTGTTTTGTCATTGAAAAACATGAATGCTGTCTCAACAGTGATCTCTTTGTTCCTATAATCCTTTAATTGCAGTATTTCCTAAAGTATAAAACTTTTTTCACCTTTTTTGGTAATTATTTGGTTTGTTTCTGCAGATAAAAGGAATAATAACAAACAAGACAGCAATAGAAGCTTGGATAGTGGAAAAGGTTCACACAAGAAAAGCTGTTCTTATAGACTACAAAAAGTGTTAGATAAGAGGATGTAAATTATTATCGAAATTTGACATAACTATTTGCCACCAAACATCACTCTTTCTGAAACTTGATGAGCAAATAGGCCAAATAATGTTTAATTTTTAGTCAATTTGCATTTTTATATTCTTGTGGGCCTTTATTTTAATTGTTTCTAGTAGAAAGCTGGTTGTGTTAGTAATGAGAGCAATTTTTCCTCAACAAACAGGCTGACCGACCTCGCACTCAAGGAGACATATTTCTTTACCCTTATGATCTAGGATGGAGAGAAAATGTCAAACAGGTATCTTTACTTACTTTTGTTTATTACCTAATTAAACGTTTTATGGGTTGTTTTTCTGTACATTTATGCTGTCTAAACAACCACATACTGTTGATCTGAATGTATGATGCCAGACAGCTGAACAATGTACTTCCAGACCAGTTTATTAATTCTCCTACCCAAGGTTTTATGAGAAGCTCAAAACTGGAGCAAGGTCTGTTTTCTTTTTCTAGAGTTAGAGTTTTACTTTAAAACTCCATCCAAGAAGACTT